GGATTAAATTCAGTGCAAAAGAGAAGCGACTTAATGAAAAAACTCCATCTTAGATTTTACTACGCGCAGTCCTTGTACCAGGCAGGTATTTTCAGCGATGCTTTGCGCGCATTAAAACAAATCAGCGACCACGAGGGACTGCGGGAGTCCTGCCTGCAATTGCAAAGTGCCATACTCTACTCAAGTGAGGACTTTGCGGGCGCACAGAGTATATTGAATCAACGTGGGACTGGCAATGCGGACACACTCAACGATGAGGGTTGCCTACTCTTTCACGCCGACCAATACGAGAATGCTGTGCAACGCTTCTCGAACGCCTTAAAAGTGGGCGGTTTTAATCCGCTAGTGGCTTACAATTTAGCGTTGTCGCACTATCACAAAAAGGAGAAGACGCAAGCCATTGAGTATACTTGTAAGTGAAGTAGAGGGAAGTGCGGGAGGGGCGATGACAAGAAGCTAAATTTAAATTGATTGTTTTGTTGTGTTATTTCCTTCTCTACCGTTTCTTCTTTATCTATTTTCTTCATGTTTTTTATACTGCAAAATCCATTAGCGGAGATTGTGGACCGTGGCATACGCAATCATCCGGAGTTGGGCATTGGCGCACAAATCGATACGGATGGCAGTGCACGCAGTGTGGGAAATCCAATTACCATGGCCATATCCGGCATAACACAAGCGCTGAATTTGAAAGCGGCTATCGAGTATCAGGATGGCAATAGTGGGTAGTTCGTGGAAATGAATCAAGTGGAGATGTTAATTATGTGCTTGTCTTCTACTACACTTTTGCGTATCCCAGCTGATGCCGCACATGATGCGCTTTTAGATTTGCCACCACGTTCTGAGAGTGAGCTAGATCCGGTTACGTTGCATAATATGGCGCTGACTGATCCCAAGGGCGCTGTGGCTGGTTTGCGTAAATTAGCATTCCTACTGCAACTCGGACCGCCCGCCTGTCCGAAGGAGACGTTCGCCAACATTTTATTAATTTGCTGTAAGAACGAGATGTACGAAATGGCAGCGGATATACTAGCGGAGCATACAGATCTGACCTATAAGTATCTGTCGCAGGTAAGGGGGAATAATTGTATTTTATTCTTTTAATTTTCTTTAATTTGAAACGCTCTTTTCTTCTCGCTGAAAACCAGTACCTCTACGAGCTGTTAGATGCCTTGATAACCGCGCAAACTTCCCCGGAATTGGCGGAGAAGAAACTAGGCGTACTAGCGTCTAGCTTGGCTGGTAAGCTACGCAGTCTGGCCGCTAAAGTGCAAGAGATGCGCGGCACTACCGATCAGACGGCACTGCGCAGCGCTTTGCAGGACTACGAGAATGCTTTGGAACTGTAGGCAATTTTATTGATTGATTTTGACGTATCAAGATCTTTTTAAAATGCAACTTTCCCCAGTTATATGCCCGTTGTATTGGCGCGCGCTTGGATTTACTGGCGCGACGATGACTTTGTGGGCGCGGAGCGTGAGTTTCGCGCAAGCGCTGAATTCTGTTCGGAGAACTCTGTATGGCGTCTCAATGCCGGCCATGTGCTCTTCATGCAAGGCGACAAGTACAAGGAGTCGGCTGCCTTCTATGAGCCTATCGTACGCCAGCACAATGATGATGTGAGTAGTTTTCCGTATCAGTTGCAACATTATTTCTTAATAATCTTCAGCTGCTTATAGATAATGTCCGTACCAGCCGCCGTGTTGGCTAATCTGTGCGTCTCCTACATCATGACCTTTCAAAATGAGGAAGCCGAGGAATTGATGCGCAAAGTAGAGAAGGCTGAGGAGTTAAAGGGCAATACGGGCAAGCAGTATCATCATTTGTGTATTGTCAATTTGGTTGTAGGCACCCTTTATTGCGCCAAATCCAATTATGAATTCGGTTTGTCGCGCATCGCACACGCACTCGAGGGTGGTAATGGTGCGCGGCTCTATGCCGATACTTGGCTGCATGTGAAGCGCTGCGTGTTGGGACTGCTGACAGGTATGGCGAAGCAGAATATTATTTTACCATATCCGGCTGTGCAGGAAGTGATGAATTTCTTGAAAACTTGTGAAGGTAAGAAAAATTATTGATAAATTCCAATAAAGAAAAGGCAAGCAAAAAAGGATATTAAGTAAAACAGAAAAAAGGATTTGTTGTAGGTAAATACAAATTGGCAACAACAACAAGTTCTAAGTCATCGCACATTTTTGGTGTGTAAGCAGCTTATTTGTGGGTACGAGTAAAATTTGCGTTTTTCCAGCAGAAAATTTTTGGCTGCTTTGTGCAGCCCAGTAGAAAATCTGTAGTTGAAAAGTTTTAAGCGGTTGGATCCCTAACCGACTCAGCTGCTTTAGTTAAATTACGGATGTCAGCTTGGAAACTGCTATAGATTTTTTGACAAATAGTGATAATTATGCCAAAAAGCAGCCAACTAACTTTAGACTCGACTTTATTTTGACTATAAATATGCCCCAATATTTTGGCGCTTACAATTTGCTAAAGATTTGGCCCAGTCTCTCCTCCAATTTGTGGGTGGCTCTTGATTTTGTTACACGAACGGTGGGACCTAAAGTTTTACCCCACCTCCGGCCGGCAAATGGATTTTACGAAGGTTTACCATTCTTTCTGAAATGTACTAGCCAGAAATGTGATTGCTTTATAAAAAAGAGAACAATTTTGAAATATGAGTGTTTTCACTCTCTAGAAAATAATGTATGCAACCTCACAACGCGGTTTTGCTTTTTGTTGATACTTTAAACGACGATATGGATGTACGTAATTTAAATAAAATGGTTTTGCCTTCTTCCAGTTTACGGCCTCTTCACGCCCGCAAATATTTACACTGCCGCTGATGAAGTGCCCGCAGATCCATTGACCATCGGCTTGGAGGCCCGAAAGCTGCGGTTATTACTTATCAAACTCAGCGAGTATGAACATTGAATTGTCAATATAATAAGGAATTTTTTATGAACTTCTACAAGAACGTTTATTATTTGTATTTATATGTAGTTTCACATAAAATATCAATGTATGTATGTACGAGTATAATTTAACGATTACATTACAAAATATACGTGAAAATTAAAGGATCGATACAAAGTTTTTCGTATGTAAGTGTTAGTAGTGATGAGTTATAAAATATTTTGAGGATCACTTGCAAATAGGTGATCATAAATTTTAATTTAGTTCTGTTCAACTTTTTATTTTTGTGAGTTTTTGCGCGTTTAAAAATGAGATAAGATGACTTTTCCAAATTTCCCTTCCCGCGCCTTTTGTCATTTTGTTTGAATGCTGTGTTTGGTTAATGTGTGAGTTTATTTGCTAAATACTAATTATTGTATGTTTTGTTTATTCACTTATTCGGCGAATAATTTGGTTATATGAACTGCATGCTTGAAGTTGTAATTTTTTTTTATTAACGCCGATTTATTTAATCATCAAGCACTGCCGAGGAGGCCATCTCACTGACACCGCATGTATTATCGCCACGGTACACGCGATAGTACCCTTGTTCGCCCCATTTAGGTCCCCAGGAATTCTTTACAATCCAGTAGGGTAGTGTCTTCTTGAACATTGGATAGTCGGAAACGCCATAACCGACAATAAGAACACCATGGTCGAGATTCTTTTTAGAGCACAATGCTTTCCATGGATGAGAGACGCCACCGCGATAGAATTGCATAGCATTTGCGTTAATACCTGAAATAAAAAAAAAAAACAATATTGGTTTAAAATTTTTGACATACATTTGCTACCGCATTTAAAACAAAATGAGGTAGAATTTGGGAAATATATAAAAAAAATATAATTTTATATATGTAGTAAATATGCATAAAATTTTCAAGCTTTTTAATCTAAATTTTTAAGAAAATTTTGGGCATGCAGTTTAACAGCCCATTTACTACCCTGCCGCCTTTGGTTCACACACTTTGAAATATTTCTGCTTCAAGATTGTATGAAACTTTCATATCGATGGCTGAGTGGAAGATCGACCTATCTCGGCAGCCACTTCAAAAACGCCCTATTTCAGAATTTCATTGAAAAACACCTTATCTCAGAATTTGGTTGAATAACGCCCTATCTCAGAATTCGGTTCAAAAACGCCCTATCTCAAACGAAAATAATTGAAAATAAGCTGAGATAGGGCGTTCTTCAATGAAATTCTGAAGTAGGGTGTTCTTAAATAGTTTTCTGAAATAGAGCGTTGTTCAAAAATTTTCTCAGATAGGGCGTTTTGGAACTGGCTGCCGAGATAGATCGATCTTCCACCAGCCATCGATATGAAGTGCATAAACTAAAGGTGAGCAAGGTAGTATATTTAGTATAATAATGTGGAATTGGGAAGAGACCCAATATTCTCGGTGAAATTTGTCGTTGTTGTTATTTCTGCTGTTGTTGTTGTAGCGGCTGCAACAATCCCGCCCAGATCGGTTAGTCCTTTAATTGTTGTCGTCTAGCTCTACTAGCGGTAGTCCCAGGGACAGGGGAGTCAGTAGGGTGGGATGGGGTTCAGTGGGCATGCGAAGAGATGATGTGAGTCATGGGGCGTCTCTCCGCACACCGAGCATTCGTTTAGAACATCTTCCTTTATTCTGCTCATGTATGAGTTCAACCTGCTGCAATAACCAGAGCGCAGTTGGGCTATTGTGGCCCGAGTCTCCCGAGGCAGGCGAAGTTCTGTCTCGTCCACGTCTGGTGGTTGTGTGCCCAGAACGGCATTCACAGGTCGAGAGTCTACATAACTCGAGACTGCCTTTCTGTGAATGCCGTTATTTATGTTTGATGAACCTCTGGATTTCGCCCGTCAGTTCGTAGAGATGCCTCCTGACGTGCCTGGGCCCTCGCCCTTCTGTAAGCATATGTCTGTTTGGGTAACCACATCTGTGGCTCCCAACTAGAAACTGCTTGCAGAGCATTGTGTTGTGTTGTGTTGTGTGCTCCTTAACGGGGAGCATATGGGCCTCGTCGTGCAGGTGATGTTGCGGCGACATCAAAAGGCATCCTGTCGGTGTCCTGGGTGCCGTGTTCGGGCAGGTCTGCAGCTTCATCCACTGCGTCCTACTGGTTCCTGGCGACCACACAGGCTCTGTATAGTTCAGAAACGGTCGGCCAATTGCCTTGTACGTTGCCAGCAACGTTTCTTTGTCTGTGTCCCAGGTGCTACCGGCTAGCGACTTGAGGACCTTGTTGCGGTTTTGTACTTTGTTGACAATTGCGGTTTTATGCGCCAAGAAGGAGAGCTGACTGTCGAAAGTTACTCCGACGATCTTCGGGTTGTTCACCGTCGGAAATGGTTCGTCATCGACGTGAATTACCAGTTGTAGTCTGACCTCCTTCGTCCAGGTGGTAAACAGTGTGGTTGAGGATTTTGTAGGGAGAGGGTTAAGTACGTACTGTTGGAAAAAAATATAGTACGCAAAAATACTATATTTCTTCAATTATAAATATAAGTATATTCCAGTAATTTACACGAAAAAATGTGTATTAAAATGGATGAACTTTATACTGACATAACAATATTAAATGAAATATTTTTTAAAGTAAAATGTAATTTTGAGTTTATAATCAAAAAAGGTAACATAACTGAAAAAGAATTAAAAAATTTACCATGATTCAATAATACAAGGTTATGTAATTTGTGACAGCTAAAATTTGACACTCCTTTAACTAGATTTGTATTTTGGAAGTAGGAGAAAGGGGAAGAATACGATCGCCTTTTGCGAAAACGGTAGTTGAAAGGTACTACAAAAAGTACGCAAAGTATACAATTAGAAGTAAAAAGTGTATTATTAATTTATGCGAATTTGCAATATATTTGGTGTATTAATGGAAATACTAAACAATACATAAAAATATGCATTTTTGATTTCAGTTATTCGTCATTTCCTGGAAGAAATCTAGAATACCGGCCGTTCAGCTATGCAAAAACGAAAGATTCAGATCAATAGAACTTTTTATGCTCATTTCAACCATGCCAAAATTATTTGGCGCAAGTGAAAAATGAAGACATTCTAGAAGGTTAAATTTCAGTTTTTAGATTTTTTTAAATATTAATATCTTATAGTTATATATAAGCAGACACGTGCTTGCAGCAGAGCCCTCGGCTAGGCACGTCGTTAGGCAACTATACGAACTGACGGACGAAGTCCAGAGGTTCATAAAACAACCTATGGGCACGACATTCACAGGAAGTCCGCCTCGACTTTCACCGACTCTCGGCCTGTGAATGCCGCGGCAGAGCTTTGGCTGCCTCGGAAGACTCGCACCATAATAGCCCAACTTCGCTCTGGCTACTGTAGTAGGTCAAATTCGTACCTGAGATCCAGATGTGCCCAACCAGTTCTCGGAATGCGGATAGACATCCCAAGACTCGAGACATCTCTTTTCATGCTCCCTAAACTCTTCTTGTGTCTCCTGTTAGTTGAGCTTGGCGACAACTATTGAGGGCAGGGCTAAGTAGCTGCTACAACAACAGCAACAAACCCAGTACGGGAAACTTATCATAAATAACTTTACTTTTGACTCCTTCAAACACGATGTTTTTTGGGGGTCTACCAGTACCCATTTGGCACTCACGGGAACGTACTGAATTCTGAAAACAATTTGTGTAATAAATAGATTGCGCAGAATTCATGGTTGTGGTAACTCTCTGGGTGAACATTGGTAAAAAAACAAATAAATGAATAATATAGACCGCATAACCTATCGCCTCGACAGATCAAAAGGAAAGGCAGTGACTGTGACAAAATAGTTTAATCCCTTTTTTTCCTAAAAACGAGTTTGAAACCTCAGCAATTGTCTACTGTTAACCACTTCTTGTTTTTTCACATAGGCGTAAGTGCTTTCGCCAGAATTGGAGACTTATCATTTATAATCCATCCTTCTATTTGAAGGGCAAGCATAGGTTAACATTACATATACCTATTATACGGTTCCGGAAGTACACAAAATTGTATCAACGTTTTTTTTTTTACTAAACTACCCAAATCTTGTTCTGTGTCGCATTCATATTCCCGCGAGCAGCACTATGTTGGGTTTGAAGATCCTAGGAAGTCCATTGCTCTTCGTTGATCGACCAAAGTAAAAGCCATATTGTGCACTTGCTTAGATTAGTCAACCTGTTGTTCCTCATCTTTTATCATAGCTATTTTACCCGCCACTAGTATGCTTCCTTATTTCCAGGTGCCGCGAGACCTATTTAGGGTATCTATGCAGATTTACGACGAGATATCGAAAATACTGTAGCCGTGTTCTTCATGATCTTGCATGATTTGCAGTCATTTTTATTGCTTCGAACTCAGTTTGAAACGTATTTCGATATTTTTGAAGGGTGTATGATTGGGGTGGTGTGGTCTCTACATGCCGGACATGGAGATATCGGGATCGAATTTACATAGATAGGTAGCTGTTTAGGCGGCTACAATATATGGGCTGTAGTTGTTGTTGCGAGAGTGGCCAAATCTCTATCAATGCCGTTGATCACTCGTCGATACGTCGTGTGTGTGTGTGTTGTAGCAGCATACAAGTTCCCCAAAGAGTTTTCGGAGAGTCGGGTCCACTGGTTGGTTGATGTAAGTCTGGACCGCGTCCATATACTCCGTCTAGCTATCGTCAAGTGATGCACCACCAACGAACACCATTTATTTTTTTATATATATACATAGATAACTGATTATTATAACAAGTACCCTCATTATCCGCTTCTATTTATAATCTTCTTTCCTATTCAATTTCAAATAAAAATAACATTAGCAACAATACCTACCAATCGACACAGGTCCATTGGTAATCAGCCACTGTGCTATGGCCGACTCATTCTTGGGCAAATCAACGCCACCCTTCACTTTGACATGCGCCATTGACTTGTTGAATTGGCACTGGTCCTTGTGTCCTTCATACGGATATTCGGATTCCAACTCCAAACCGCCAATATGCTGTATCGCTCTAAAGTTTGAAACAAAAAATATTTAATTGACATTCGAAAGCAGCCACATAGCTAGATATCTATCTATTCGTCACAAGACACACACTTACTCATAAGCATTATCCATTAGACCACCATTGCATGCCGAATCGGTGGTGTCGC